TAATTTCAAAGCGCTTTTTCAGGTGCTCAAAGATGCGTTACAGTGGTGATAGAATAGCAAATATTAAAACAGCAACACAACATAATTCACAAATTAAAAGCCAGTCTGAAGAGGTGTGTTTTGGTCAGTGTTTTGAAAGTGGGGGGGTCGGTGCAGTTTCTGATGTGTTGTGGAAGGGAGTTCCAGAGGGTGGGGGCAGCGATGGAGAAGGCTCTGTGCCCCCAGGTTCGGAGCTTGGTTCATGTGGGGATAGAGAGGAGGTTCGCTTCTGATGAATGAAGGCTGCGGGAAGAGGTGTAGTGGTGGATCAGGTCGGTGCGGTTGGGGGGGGGCTGGTTATTGAGAACTTTGTGTGTTAGCAGAAGGATTTTTTAAGTGTATTCGTTGACGGACAGGGAGCCAGTGCAGGTTTTGAAGGACGGGGGTGATGTGGTCTCTGGAGCGGGTGTGGGGGAGGAGGCGGGCAGCGCAGTTCTGGATATATTGTAGCTTATTTAGAAGTTTGAATAATGAACCATACAGGATGCTGTTGCAGTAGTCCAGTCTTGAAGTGATGAATGCGTGGATGAGGGTTTCAGCAGCCGGGAAGGAGAGTGAGGGGCGGAGGCGGGCAATGTTTTTTAGATGGAAGAAGGCAGTCCTGGTGATATGGTTTGTGTGCTTATCGAATTTGAGTGGTGTTGTCAAGGGTGAGGTTGAAGTTCTGGGTGGTGTTGGTGCGGGATGTGGGTCCGATTATGATTATATCTGATTTGTCGCTCTTCAGTTGAAGGTAGTTGGTTTGCATCCAGGATTTAATTTCTGAGAGACAGTTGGTGAGTGAGTTGTGGCAGTGATGGTTTTTGTGGAGATGTAGAGTTGGATGTCACCAGCGTAGCAGTGATACTGGAGGTTGTGGCAGCGGATGATTTTTCCAAGGGGGAACATATAGAGGATGAAGAGGAGGGGACTAAGCACCGAACCCTGGGGGACGCCTTGGGACAGAGGGGCAGTGGAGGAAGTGCAGTTATTGATGTGGATGAACTGGTGATGAACTGGTGATTTCAGCCAGGAGAGTGCAGTGTCAGTGATGTTAAGAGATGATTCCAGGTGGGACAGCAGGATGGTGTGGTTGATGGTGTCGAACGCTGCTGTGAGGTCGAGGAGGATGAGGATGTTGAGATTGCCGGAGTCTGAGGAGAGGAGGAGGTCGTTAGTGATTCTGAGGAGGGCTGTTTCTGTGCTGTGCTTTATGCGGAATCCTGATTGAAAGGGTTCAAACAGGTTATTGGAGCTGAGGTGGGATTTCAGTTGGGAGGCTACACCACGTTTGAGTAGTTTTGATAGGAAGGGGAGATTGGAGATGGGCTGGAAGTTGGACATGATGTCAGGTGTGAGTCCAGGGGTTTTCAGTATGGGTGTAACAGCAGCCAGTTTGAGTGAGGGGGGGACTGATCCAGAGCAGAGGGAGGAGTTAATGATTGTGGTTATGAGTTGGGAGATGGGAGGGAGGCATTCCCTGAATAATTTAGATGGTATGGGGTCCAGAGTGCAGGTGGAGTTCATTCCAGCCATGAGGGTGGACAGTTGCATTGGGGTCACAGGGGAGAACCGGGATAGGGGCTGTGAATCAAAGGTTTCCATGGAGAAGGGCAGTGATCAGTGAAAGGAGACCCTTTCCGTTGTTCTGAATGAGAAATAAACCTCTAACATTTCTAACTATTGTTGGAAAAACTGTATCTGTTATCGTTAGAATTCTGATGCTGTGAGCATGCCAGGTCCCTGAGGAGGGTTTTAGTGTGCATTTTGTGTACATTGGGGTCAATAATGTGGCTCCTTTGGCAGTTTAACTAAAGGTGTGCTGCTGGTCCTCGGAGGAAAGATGAGGCTACATTTACAATGGGGCTGAATTAGGAGCTGTGAAACGTTTTGTCACATCCTTGCTCTCGAGAGCAGGGGTGTAGTGCGGCCGGAACGCACCGGAATGCCGCTCCGGCACTTCAAAAATAGCAGTACACATAAGGAGCTGTTACTGCATGCCGCGTTTTTTGCGTAGCTGTGTCTTTAGTTGTAAGCCCAGTGGCGGTCTGTTCATCTGTCATATGATCATACAATAAAGCCATCGAAAATAATAGGATGAAGTAGTAAGTTATTCTGGGTCGTTGTGTGTCTTTCAAATTCCGGCCCTGTGTGTGGCACGAGCGCATTTTGTGTGGGTGAGCGAGCGAGCGAGAGAGTGGGAGAGAGAGAGAAAGCGCACGGGTGCCGGGGATTGTTGTTGTTAGCATCTGGTTAGCTAGCTAAGTTAACGGATATAAAGAGCTGTTTCTACAGGTGGAGGAGAGTCCTCTCCTCTCAGACTGAGAGAGTTATCTCAGTGGGTCTCAAATGGTTTGGTCATCATTTATGTAAACAAGTATTTCCAAGGCACACCTTTATATGATCATTATAGTGATCAAATATAAGAGAATAACAGGTATGAAATTATTCCAATTCATACTACAGGACAGTAAAACTAAAATACAGTTTAAAAGGGGAGTGATTTGAAAAATATGCATAAAGAAAAGTAAATCTGTTTACAGTTCTGTTTCACATGGGTGTTGTTGAGAGATGTATCCATAGATTTAGTCCCTCTCAAAGTGCATTTAAAAAAAATCTTCCCGTGGGGGCATTGCCCCCGGACCCCCCTAAAAGATGTTAGGTCCACTACTCACTTAAAAAAAAGGGTCACATTGATTGATAAGATTCTAAATACATACGCATGTGCGAGTCATAGGTGCAGGCATTTATGGCAGGTTTAAAGAACACATTTTAGGCGAATTTCAAGCTTTCCTCCACTCTGTTAGTGTGTATTGCGAGCAGCGCAATACACACTAATGTTAAAATCTGAAAAAGGCTTCTTTACCAGGCTCCAAACCTTGTGTAATATTTGTGTCATACGAATAATGTCAAACAGATGTGTAACATTTTAGAGCTTGAATGAGGTTTCTGAGTGAAAGTATGAAGGAGCAGTTAGCAGTTGAACATGAACATGAAATGAAGATTTTTCAAGTCTGAAGAGGTTTTCAAATCATTCCTGTTGGAGAAGTGTTGATGAATTATGGGTAATATCTCTAGAATTATGAAAGTTATCAATGTGAAAAGTAATACCTCACATTTCCTAACCAAGCTGAACGTTTTGTAGTTTGAACGGAGTAGAATGGGGGAGGAGAAAAAGAATAATAAATAATTTAGTTATTGCTCTATTATTTCCACTAGTTATCATATGGTATATAAAACATCAAAAATATTCACTTAACGATAATGATGAGAAAAAGGAAAGAAACACATTTTTCTACTTTTAGGATTGAAAGATACAATATACATGTAAACAGCAAAAATAGCCAAAACAGAAAGGCTGTCTGATTATATCTCTATGAATTAAGAGGCAGAAATCACACAATTATCTTCTTAAAGAGTGATTCAAACAAAATCATAAAATATCAAAGAGTTACGAAATAAACCATTGGACTAATAACTGCAGTCAATCACACGATGACCTCTCACTCCTGCAGCTCAGTGACCCCCGTCCCTGTAGGACAAACAAACAGGACTCTGATGATAAGAGCAGATCGTCCCGCTGACGGACGGGGTTTCCAGAGGATGACAGCAGGGGTCGAATGCTCAATGGCCACACACACACACACACACACACACACACACACACACACACACACACACACACACACACACACACACACACACACACACACACAGGACACTTCCCCCCCGCTCCATAACCTGCTCTGCGGCTTCCTGCTAATTAAATTCCTTTGCTGTCCATTAGAGGATAGAGTGAGCGCTGCTGACTCAGCGCAGGTAGGGCAGCTCCTGGCGGCTCAGAGAGCTCCAGAGCCCCAGCAATTCATTTGGCCGCCCCGTTTTACACATCCCTGGCTTTGCGCAGGCTTTCAAGGGTGCAGAGAGAGAGTGAGGGG